AATTATATTTTCTTACACCATGACAGCACCATTATAACTCCCAATATAAACAGTATGTTGTATCATGTAATACTTTGTTTATAATCAATTTTCCCTCATTAACTATAAAATGTCTTTTATGTTTGGTTTGTTCAAATCAGTATACAAACAAGATCCCCACACTATATTGGTTGTTATGTATCTAAAATATCTTTTAATTTTAAGCAGTCCCATCTCCCTATTTTTTTCCCCTATCACTGACTTATTACCAAATTCATGTTAGTGTCATGATTATCAGTGGCTGTTTTTTTCCCTTAAGCATCATTTAACTTATTCCTTTATTCCTCATATATCCTCTAAATGGAAGTTAACACTAGAGGTGAATAATTTCTTAAAATAGCATTAATAATGGATTGATTTTGTCATTGGTAGGTTCTAATACATTCATTTAGATAGCATATAAGTGAATATAAATATATAAATAAAGGTAAAACATTCTGTTATCTTCCACCGTTGATGGAAGAAAGAACAATGTCATTAAGATTGAAAAGGTTCCCATGTTGCCCAATATTAGTTATATAACATACCAAATATCTTACACACGGCCTGCTGTTCTTTTTTATGTCACCTACCTGGTTCCTATACTCCTTAGAATTTGCAGACTCTGGCATAGGGGATTCTTACTGAGAAATGGTGAGAGAGAACATTAGAGTGTTATAGACCAGATTTTGAAGGGTCTTTACTTGACAAAAAGGACTCTTTATATATTTGACTTTGAATTGTGCCTCTAGGGTGGACTAGTAGATGATGCATCTACATGTAAGAGACCAGTTAGGATTCTGCTGGAATGAGCAGGCTCACCTTAATGCAACAGATAACAGCTGCAATAGTAAGTCGTTACTACGTGGCTAATTATTGGGTGACACCAACTCCAGAAAACGAATATAATACTGTGTTTTCCCTCCCCTACTTATGCTTTGCTAACATAAAACATCAAAGACATAGTTGAAAGGCGAAAAACATAAAACTACCTGAACCCTGAGAGAAGTATGCCTTGGCAATAGTAGTATGTAAATACGTTAACATTTGTAATTCTCAGAACATTATTACATATTATACTGTTAATATTTTCATTTTAAAGATGAGGAAATTGAGTTATAAAAGGCATAAATTATTTTCCCAAGATCACATAGTAATAAACGGATAATCCAGGGACCGAACTGAGGCAGGCTAGCTCTTCGGCTCACTACCATACTGTCTCTCAGAATAGAGTTATGAGATTATTTTTGTCTTTATATGAGCACCAGGTAGTAAAGAAACTTCTTCCAACTCTCCCATGCAAACCATGAAACTTGCATATTTCTTAACCCCTGTGTGGTTTTAATATGAGTACTTATGTATTACATATACATTTGGTGATAACTATGTGTATAAATATTCCTTTTGTTTTAAACAGGTCATCAATAACCTTGGTCCTTTGGAACTGATTCTCAATACTCCTAGCCATCATAGAGTCCATCATGGTAAGGATATCTGATGTCTTTTTTCTTTCTTTCTTCTTTTCTTTAAAAGTGATGCTATTATTTTTCATCACTTCATTTCATCACAGTTACTCAACACAGTCAGTATACACTGTATAAATAAGCATCGATTCTTCTTTTGTACCTGGACAAGCCTCATCTCCAAAGCAAGGACTGGAGAAAAACAAAACAAAACTTCTTATTATCTGGTTTTTGTATTTTCCCTTTTGTTGAGATCTCCTTAGTTGTAGTGGAAAAACGAGTTAACCAGCTGAGGGGATATACACTTTACATCTTGAAGGAGCTTGTTGAAGGCCACTCCTTGACCCAATACTGGGGGTCATTCCTGTCTATAGCCTGAGAGTCCCTGGTCTTAAAAACTGTTGGGATTTGAGGAAAGCCTAATAAACAACACTTCACTTTCCTGCCTAAATTCTGTGAACAAACTCGACATATGCTGCATTTGCCTGACAAGGAGAAAATTCTATTTGGCTAGTGTCTAAGGTTTAAAGACACCAGCTTAAGAAATAACAGAAATGTTTACATATGTGCACCAAAAGACCTATACAAGAATGTGCATGTCAGCATTGTTTGTAATAGGAAAAAAAAGAGATATACTTCAAATATTATTAACAGTAGAACAGATAAATTGTAGACTATTCATGAAATGGAGAATTATATAGCAATGAAAATGTCCAAACTATTGCTACGTGTAATGGCGTGAATAAATCTCACAAAGATAATGTTGAGAGAAAGAAGTCAGTAATAGAAGGATAAATACTGTTGTCCTGTTTTTATAAGTTTCCAGGCATCACAGGCAGCATTGGAGCACCGCAGGCCTGCCTTCCCAAGGGGAGCAGGTCTCTTTCTCATGGCAGAGAGCAGAGCGGAAACACAAACTCCCCCAGGAAGAGGAGAGGATGAGGTCAGGCTGCACATGCTCAGTTGCCTCTTCCAAACTCAACAGTCCTTCTCCTACTCCCAGGGCATAGTTAGTGAGGGAGTGGAGCGTCCAAGAGTTTTATACTCTTAGGGTTTTCTCCATATAAAAGAACATACAAGAATGGAGAAGAACAAGTCCATATTGAAGAAGAAAGTTGCTAATTTCCTCTGTTTGGCTTCAAAGCACCTTCCCACTTATGCTGCTTTATATCAAGGTTTCTTAGCCTCAGCACTATTAACATTTTAAACCAGACGGTTCTTCATTTGGGGATGGAGGGCTGGGGAAACTGCCCTGTGTATTATAGGATGTTGATCTCCACGTACTAGATACCAATAATATCCCCTCCTGTTGTGACTGCAAACAAATTCTCCAGACATTGCTACATGTCAACTGAGGGGCAAAGTGCTCTCCCCTCCAACAGAGAACCACTATTCAGCCCACTTATGGCAATGGGTTGTGCACCTGTGTAGCTAGTCCCACTCAACTTTTGCACTGGGGGGATTTTTCCTTGTGTCTTCACTTTCAAATGTACATTTGCATGTGTGGAAGGCACGTAAAGAAACGAGGGCATATGAAGACAGTTGAGTTTATTAGAGCAGTGATTTGGTGGGTTAATATTCTTTTTCCTTTGATTTACAATCATGTGGATATACTTGTGTCTATTTAAGCTTTTTTAAATTAAAGAAACTATGCCCAGCTATTTAAATTTAAATTACAATTTGAATACTTTGGAATAGGAAAAATATCATATATGTTATGAGTTAATAAAAATAATCAAGGGTAATTTAATTTTCACTTATGTCTTTTAGGATTAAAAAAATAGTAAAGTCTCACTCGAAGTAGAAAATTTTCTTCCTGGGAAAGATGCAGAGAAAAGGGATACAGATAACAACTCACTTCAAAATTAAAAAAAAAAAAACAAATGTACATATATTATTTATCTTATTTCTTACTGCCTTTTTTTCCCCAGGCCATTTAATTTTTAATTATTACTCTTTGATAGTCCTTAAAGAAGAGTTACTTAGAATATCCCAGATTTTTTAAAAAATGGAAAAATTGTAAGCAAAAACATTTTTTAAAATCTGGGATAATTCTAAGTATATATAGTTTCAAGGAAATCTTTGCTCTTTTTAGTAAAATTTACTGAAAAATAAATTGAATGAAAACAATTTACTGGCAAGTAAAGTCTAATGTTGTTAATGAAAAGCCATTCATAAGGAAATCATTCTGTTGCATGAGTCTTAATTTTTTGAATGGGTTCTAAAGTATAAGACAACGAGATGTTTCAAAAAGCTTAACTGCATTTTTTATAATTATTTTTTAATATTTTGTCTCATAGGCAGAAACCGTTATTGCATAGACAAAAATTATGCTGGCACTCTTATTATATGGGATAGAATTTTTGGTAAGTAAAAAGTATGAGAATAAAAGAAATTAAATTAGCTCATTAATTCCCAGAAAGTCAAAGATCATATCTTTAATGTTTATCTTCCAGGGACATTTGAGGCAGAGAATGAAAAAGTTGTATATGGTCTAACACATCCCGTTAACACATTTGACCCATTCAAGGTGCAGGTAATGTAATTAGTTTCATTTTTTCTGAATTGATTATATCCTTTCACAAATCTCATATTTAAAAGAATATGAGGCGGAAGTGCATTACAATGCCCTGAAAAAAGTTTTTTAACTGTAAAAGAATTTGGAAATAACTCTAGCGCTCAAAGACTTGCATCAACTGGGGCAAAATACATTTAAAAACATCTCATTATAAGAATTCTTAAATATATCTACTATGTAGAATAAAAAAAAAAGACTCTTTAGCAAACATGTTCTTTCTCAGAATAGACCTGAAATGTATTCATGTATTCAGAAGGAGCGGTAGTAAAAAGTATAATTAAGACTGATCCCTCAGTAAGAAAAATATTTGCTGCAAGGCTGCATGACTCTGGTTAGAAATTCAATGTGAGGCCTTTGCCCTACTCTTCTTGGACCTAGGTGTCAGGAGCTATTACGGGTTGGTTGGGTGTGCACATTACCTCACCTGCTAAGACTTGTTGCACTGGACCACTTCTCTGCTAGACATGTGGTATTGGTTGTTCACTGGTCTCAATGGTTGGCACTAGAGAAATGAGGAATGTCTGTGAAGCTCTGATCCGTCGGCGGCAGACCACCACAGATACTCCTGGGGCCGGGGAGTGGTAAATGAGAAAAAGATAAGAATGCTTAAAAAACTGAAGAGGTTGGTCCACAACAACTCTGTCCAGGAGACTGGGTTTCCAGCATTCAGTAAGGGAGGAAATTACAGGTTCATGTTGGGTCTGCTTTTCAAACCTACCTCTTCCAAGTTTTTAAGAAAGTTAAAATAAAATAAATTTACATTTATCGAGCTTTTACTATATGCAGGGCATTGCTAAGAGTGCAGCACATATATTTAATGTAACCATTACTAAAACCTTGCAAGGTAGTGGTTCTTTTTAGCCTCATTTTTTGGTGAGTGAAACTGAAGTTCCCAGGATTTAAGTAATTCACCCAACTACACACAGCTTGTCAGGTGAAAACTTAACCAAGGTAGGTCGCAGGCAAAGCCCAAAACTTGTTTAACTCTATTTAACGTTTACACTGTGCCATCACAATTACCTTCACTTTCAAGTGAAAGGCATTTTTTCTCATGCTTTAAAAGAGAAAAATTGATTATTTCTCTTCTTCTCAACTGTAGAGCATTTCTCTCTCTTTCTCTTTCTCTCTCTCCCTCTGGTTAGACATTACTAAGAACAAAACATCTCTCTCAGGACAAAACTAACAAATATTTCAGAGTACTTCCTTAATCATAAGCTTTATAGAATTTAAATCAATTTAGAAATAATACATTGAGAGCTGCTTCTTCACAGGGTGTAGTCGTGTCTCTGTACTGTGGAGATTAAAAAGGAATAGACAACTTGTTTCCATCCTCTAGGAGACAGTCTTTCAAACTTAATCTGCATATGAATCATGGGAGGATCTTATTCAAGTGCAGACTGTGTTGAGTGGGTCCGGGATCTGTCCAAGATTCTGTGTTTCTGATAAGCTTGAGGTGATGCTGATACTGCTGTTTCATGGCTGATCCTTTAAGTAGCAAGGCTTTCGGGGTATACACTCTTGCTGAGGAAAAGGGGTTCATATTTTCAGCATAAGAGATTGAAAACTGTGCAACACGAGCTGCACAAGGAGTTGGATGATTAGGATTTGGAGAGACACAATGTTCAGACAATCACAGGTATTTATGAGCTGCTGCTGAAGCTGTGTCAAGTTCAATTGCCCAGGCCTCTGCCCTCACATAAACATTTCCTTTAGTGTAGTAATTGTCACGACTGTGTCTAAGGTTTAGTCTTCTAGATGCTTACTTATATTGTCAAAAATGTCAAATCAGCAAGTTGTGATAATCAGGTGTTCCTGAACCTACAAAAAAACTATACTTACTTTCACTTGCATTTCTTTATACTCAGCTAGATTTCTCTCCTTTTCCTCAGAGGCATCAAAAGCAACTTAGGACGGTCCCCTCTTGACAGAGAGGGTTTTTTCCCCCTTAGTATTAGGCATAGACCATTCACTTCGCTCTTCTTTGGAGTCCAGGAGTTTCAGGGCATTGGAAAGCAAATCAGTAAGAAAGTCCTCCCTATTTTAAAATGTTACCTTGTATTATTGCTCATGACTTGTGTCTAGAATGACAGGAATAAAATTGCAGTCAGTTTTCAAAATAACAAAACAAGTATATTACTGTGTGTTATAACTCCTAAGCACATTTCCGTATAATAATTATTATTATTACAAAGCTCCAGTATGTTTGCACCTAACTTTTCCTTTTTCCTCAAAATCTGCTCCACTAAACTCTACATTGTTCCTTAATTGCTTCAGATTCCTTATGGTAATATTTCAAGCAATTTTAAAAAGCATTTTTATTATCCTAGCAGCTTAAATTCTTTAAGAGACAGTGAAAATGCCAGTGAGACCACAAATTCTGATAGAGCCAAAACTTCTTTCTACATTAATTTATGACTAACTTATAATAGAGCTCATCTCTAGGGTCTATAGCTGATGCCCAACCTCCAGGACTATTTTTAATCCTATGGTGCATTATTATCACATGTATGGCAGATATAGCTAAATATCCTAATAGCTGATATTTACTGAGTACTTCTAATGTGTGGGCATACTTTTACTTCTGTACGTCAAGTCTGTGTTATTTAAAGAATGCGGATTCCTGCTATGAGCCTCAATGCAAACTTTTGACTCAGTAAGCAAATTCCTCCTTTTCTTATTACAGAATATGGGCTATTTAATACACAGAAGTCTACTATCAGAAATGGCTTTGAACATTTTTCCTTAATTATAGACAGGTTTGTCTATAACTCAAAAGAGTAAATAAGGGTGATTTTTAATATTTTAAATACTATTTAATATTTAAACAGATATGCAATATCTGTATGTTTCCATGTTCAACCTTAATATGCATTTAGCAAGACTTTAAAAAGGAAGTCGTTACATACGGATGTTGAGTGCACAGGCTGCTAGTCAATTCCATTGGAAGCAAAGCCTCTTAACTCATTGTTTCTACTTTGCTAATTTTCTAAACAATTGCCCTATTTTTTAATTTCAAAATTATAATTTTGTGAAAGCTCAGAAATATGACAAGAACACAATTAAACTTAAAAGACATAGAATACATAGAATGAATTACAATTTGGAATGCAATTGCCTATTAATCCACATTAATTGAACTATACGTAACCTATATATTACAGAAAAAATATATAAATTACATTGTACTATAAAATAAAATTCATGATTTATTGTATTTAATATTTTTGTTTTAAATAAGCTATATTTTTATTCTTCTAGTTCCACTATTTAGTTTACATATGGACTACATTCTGGGCCACATCTGGATTCTTCAATAAGTTTTCTGTCATATTTAAAGGACCAGGCTGGGGTCCAGGTAAACCAAGACTTGGACTGAGTGAAGAAATCCCAGAGGTAAATAGAGTTCATGGGCTTGGTGATGGTGAAGATTAGTCTCATATGGTCAGGTCTACAGCCAGCCTGTAGATATGCTGACTTCATGCAAATCTGAAAAGAGATGTTCTCTTAGGCAGATACAGCCCTGTGGTGCATAACTTAATGAGTGGACACCACCTAGGGGCCAATAAGAGGGGTGATTTCTCCCAGGCAAACACTAGGGAGCATGGTATGGGGGCAGAGCAGCAGAGGCTGGTTTTCAAATCCACTCAGACACATAGCCAAGAGCTGTTTTGTAGTGCAGAAACTAGACAAACACCTATGGCTCAGTCACAGAATCCTAAAACACTAGAAATGGAAGGAGCCTTAAAGATGATTTAGTAGTAGATAATAACAACAATAAACAAACACATGGAGACAGAGATTGGATTGGTGGTTACCAGAGGGGAAGGGGGGAGGGAGGAGGGCGAAAGGGATAATTCGGTACATGTGTGTGGTGTTGGGTTGTAATTAGTATTTTGGTGGTGAACATGATGTAATCTATGCAGAAATAGATGTATAATGATGTACACCTGAAATTTTCACAATGTTATAAACCAATGTTACTGCAATAAACAAAAAATTAAAAAAAAAAAAGATGATTCAGTCTAGCCTTCATTTCGTTCATGAAAGACAGAGTCTCCAGAATGGAAGGTCTAAAGTCACACCAAGATGATGTGGTTATTGGATTAGACCATAACTTTATTCCTTTTATAGTAGAGCAGTAGCATTAAATACAGAAATCACATTAAAAACCAAAAATAAGCAAGGTAGAAATTTAAAACACTGGAACCAAATGAAAAATTCAATTTCAATCTGGAATTCCTCTTACAGAGATGAAAAGGGAATTTCTTTCCAATCATTCAGGATATACAGTGATTCCTTATTAAAATAACTATCACTAATAGTAATATAGAAACAACAGAAAGAGTAAACTGCTATTCATTATGAGTATAAAAATTATGAGTAATAAAATTTTATGAGTATAAAAGATAATTATAAGTATAAAAATTAGCCAATATTTTAAGGAAATAAAATCATATGTTTTAATTTGAATATTATTATTTTTAAAAAATCATGATCTAAAATAAGGATGTTTTCTCATCCAGTTATGAAAGCTGCTGTGTAAAATTTCCCAGACACTTTTTGTTCTGTTCACAATCAGTTATGTAACAATGAACTAACTTAATGTAGGTGAAAATAATTTGCTTATTTCAGTTCCAAAGTGTCTATTTAGCTATGGTTCACTTATTATTTTTTCTTTTTTCCAACAGATAATCCAAAGTGAATACTGTACAGTCATACTGGTGCCTAAATCTGCCATATAAAAATAGAATTGTAGTATTTCTGGGAAACTCTGTAGTTTAGGAAAGTTGTTTTCCAATAAAGCAATATTTCTCTTTTAGGCATGATTATTCACACTACCCAAAATCACCTTCCATATTTTCTTTTGCTATACTTTCATGTGTAATCATGGACATATTTTTGTATTCATATTTTCGTGTTTAGGGTGGTTATGTTTATCATCAGTACATATTGCTGGATCAATTCTTACATTGCTTTCTATAAGGCCGACTAAATCAGAATCATAATGCTTCTGAAATGAAAAACAAGTCTCCTAACTTCTATATTTTTTCTATCCAAAAAAATGAATGTTAGAGTCATTTTGGAAAAAAAAAAAGAGTAGCTAAACCTTTCATTTCTTTTTGCATATCTCCTCTTCACTTAGTGTGAATTTCAATGAGAAGAATAAGCCAGGGAGGAATATAAAGGAAAGCCTTCTTTCTTGTCTTCCTAGGTCACAGGGAAAGAAGTTCCCTTCTCATCATTGGCGTCTCAACTCTTAAAGATATATGCAGTGGTACAGTTTGCTCTGATGCTAGCATTTTATGAAGATACTTTTGCAGATAAAGCTGTAAGTGGTATCCATTTTAAACAGAGTGTGAGAAAATTATCTGTCACTTTGTCTGAAAATGAAAATAAGCTCCCTATATTACAGCTGTGCTCTATTCTCTTCTGTAATTGTCTACTTTAGTTTTGGCACTACCACACAATTAAACAGATAAATTAATTCTTCTAGACTATTAAATGTAAATTAATTAATTATATCCAAAGTGTTCCTGTATAGAATGTCCATCAAATGGTATGTTATTGATACTGACTTGGCTTTGAGGAGGTAGAAAAAAAATCTTCCCTGAGAATTTTTAATTAGAAACCAGCCTTCACTCAGATATGGGAACAGGATTTACACGAGCCATTGATTTATACACCTAAACTAAGAATATAGTTCAAGTGCTCTTGGATTAGGTCTCATGTGTCTAAAAGATGCATGTTAGAATCATGCTTGGAGCAATCCCTTAAACCCAAGTTTCAGAGTATTCTCACAGAGAAAGTACCAATGATTATGAACTCAGAATGTAAAAGCACAGAAACAAACTAGGAGAAAGCCATCAAGACAAACAAAGGAATCAAACCCTCAAAAACAACAGGTTTGGGAAATTAAAGTAACTAAACTATAAATTAAGTAAATTTAACATGTTTGAAGGAGAAGATGAAATTAAGAAGAAATGAGAAATCAAGAAACAAGAGACTGTCAAAATGATGAGGCACATTTAGAAATAATCAAATTAAACTTCTAGAATACAAAAATATGATAACAGACCTGAGGAAGTAAATGGTTTAAATAGCAGTTTAAAGACAACTGGCGAGAGAATTAGTGCATTAAAAGAGTCAAAAAAAGAATCTGTTATACATTTGTAAAAGACAATGAGATAAAAAAAATATGACAAATTATCTTCAGACATAAAGAATACTGTGAAAAAGTTCAAAAAAAGACACAGGAATCCAGAAAAAATGTAAATGAATTCAAATGGGATTACTGGACAGTGAATTCAGGCAAGATAAATTACCTTTTCAAAGAATAAGTCTGTGCTATTGAAAGATTACCAGTCTATGCATAAAAACCCCATAAGTAATAGACATTAATAAATAATATGTGCAGAAAAATGGGTCTACTAAAGGGTATTTTTAAGGATTTTAATATATAAATCCTATGGAATTGTTTTTAATAATTAGATACCATTTTAATAATCCTGGTACAGTAATTCCACTAGAACAATTACAAATGTTTCATGTGACTTATATAGTGCATTATAAGAAAGAAGTCTACTCTAAGTAGGTTACTGAGCGTGTTAAGTAGGACTTTTTGGTTGTATGTGACAGATATTCAACTCAGAGTGAATTTATTAACTCACATAACTGAAGAGTTTGGGACTATTTCTTCTTCAGGCAGTGCTGGATCCAATGAGTCAAATGATGCCATCAGGAACCTGCTCATTCTTTCTTGCAGCTATGCTTTTCTCAGTGCAGATTCTCCTACAGACTCTCAGCCTTCATGGCGGCAAGAGGGCTACCAGCAGTTCTAGCTTTAAATACCGCCATACAAACAACCCCAGAAGTGAAAGTTCCAAATTGGAGTCTAATGTTATTATGGCTTTGTTCATCTGGATATCCTGAACCAATCAATGTGGTCAGGCCTGGATCATAGACCATTAGTCTATGAATGGGAGAACAGAGTCAGCTCTATAGGATCCTCATGCTCTGAGAGGAGGAAAAGTCTGGCTTGAAAGAAAAAATTGAGATGATAGTATATAGAAAAAGAGAAATAGATTTGAGTAGACAAAAATAAATTTTAGATCCATATAAATCTTTCTTACTCATAAATGTGTGATTTGAACTTGTTTTCAAAAAATATTCTTTCAACACTTATAAAATGCATAGTAACATACAAACCTTCCTGCAGAATACCATTTTACTTAAAGTGTCTATAGCATGAGTGTCTATTAGATATCTTCTGCTCTAAGAAACACAATATCCTATTAAATGTGGCTTAAACATAACTGGAAATTCAGAGGCAACTGTTTCCAGGACTGATTAGTTCAGCAGATCAAACATGTAGAGCTTCCAAAAAGGCTTCTCTACAATTCTCTTGGCTTTCATCATCATAAGATAATTACAGCAACGCCTGGCATCCTCTCCTCACAAACTGTGAGCAAAGGCAGCAAGTTCAAGTCTCCTAGAGCACCTTGTAAATTTCATTTCATTTAAGAAGGAGGAAAAGAAGTCCCAAAATATTTTGCAGCAAATGTCCTTTCATGTCTCATTGTTCAAGACTAATTCACATCCCCACACTGAACCAATAACTAACACCATCATGAATTAACCATGAATGAATTATACCAAGCATAATTCATACCCTGGGGATAAAGAGTTCACTTTCCCCCTGAACACATTCCTTCCTTATGCCTGGACAAAATCAGCATAGCATTAGTACAGAAGAAATGGGGCATATTTTCTGGTTGGGCAACCAATAGTGTGTGCTAGAGTGTGTCTTGCTAAATAAAATAGATTTACAAAAAGTTATTATAAAGATTACTGCATAATACATTGAAAAAGCTATTTTAATTTTTAACATTATTTAAAGACTTTAATGATTGGTGTTGTCCATATGTGTTTGTGGATTTTGCATTTAAAATTAACAATCAAACATTGCTACAAATAGTGACCCCAATTCTGAACAATATACAAGTTCACACACTCTCTCTGTCCACACACAATTTTTTTGAAGCTATAGGAAAATATGTAGTAGACTTTCCTGATTATAGCAGAAAGCAATGATTTAAATTCTGGTTTCCCTTTTATGAAGTGAAAATAAGAAATAGGGTACAATGCGACCAGAAATGTTTTGAGAATATAATGGTAGGAAATATACTGGCTTATTGTTTGCTCTTTCATGTACGTGCTACAGCTAATGAAACCAATTCCACATTGTACCAGGTTCTTTTTCCTTTAGCTTCAAAAGAAGACAAAGTTTGAAACCAAGAATTTATTTCAGGAGCAAAGCTTTCTTAAAAGTGGTGTGAACTACATCACTCTTAGCAGTGCACATGTAGACATCAAATTACCATAATGGTTAGACTTATTAATTGCTTAACCTAAGGCCTCATAATCATCTCTTCAAGTATTACATAATTAACCCATCACTGACAACTTTATTAAATTACTTTTTTATTTTAATTTGTTCGCCTAAATTATGGCTAAAATACGCATGCATTAATAGAGTTAAGATAGTTAAGTGAGATCAGAAAAAAAGCTAGATCATCTACATCTAAGTATCTAACTTTTGATATACCAATCAATATTGAGTCCAGTCTGATTATTTAATTTTTTTAGCTGTACTAAGTTAAATCCTAAAATAAACTATACTAATTCCTAGAAACAAAAATGGAAATTTCCCCATTTTGATTTTGAATAGAGGCCCTTAACATTAAGTTCACCAAGAGATTTCAATGTCTAGGCATGAGTGAGCGCTTCCTGGGTAAAAATGTAGCCAGATGCAGTGTGTGTGTATTAAAAGATGTAACTTATATCACGATTTTCACAGGATTTTTCTACTGCCGTAAAAAACTATATGAGAAACTCAGCTATATGAGAAACTCATGGAGATATATTGACAAAGAGAAATATCAAGTGTTGGAATCCTTCTCAAACTAAAATTAGAGTTGGAGACAGCTTCATTCCTGACACAAAGGAGTTTTGAAAGGTGCATTGGCTTGTTTACCACACATGTTTTTCTTTGCTAAAAACATACTGTGCAACTAGGAACAAAAGTTGTTTATTTGCAAAATTCTATAGTGCCTTTCTAGTCTCGGGGATGTTTAAAAGCATATGAAGACGTTAAAATCCAACAGCAATATTTTTTTTCCAGATTCACTGTAGCCAATAATCACATAGAAAAGTTGTGGCTGACTTGTAATTGGGAACCCTGCTGTGGTCCCACAGCCTTTCTGTTTATGCATATACCAAGAGTAGATAAATACGTACTTGTTTTATGTGTGCAAGTTCTGTATGAATAACTTTGGGAGTCAAAAAAGCAATTTGACGGCCACCACAAAGGTGTAAATGGCACATTCCTTTCTTATTGAAACTTGCAATGCATACATTTAAATAGATACTGTTTAGTTTAGTGATATGACCCAGAGACTTTTATGTTGATCTTGGTTTAGTAATGCTTGGGAAATCAATTCCTCAGCTGCCAGGGTCCACTTCATGGGGTGATATCATGAATACACATTTGAAATGAAAATATGGACATGCTAGCATGTTTCCAAAGTAACACTTGTTTCTAAAGTAAAAGGCAATGCTATCCTTTTAAATAATAGACGCGCTCAAAACAGCTTGAATATTTGAGTCATGTAATAGAATGTGTAATAAAGTTACTGAAAATATGTTTTAACACAAACTATTTGATGAGATAGTTCATGTTAATTAGACATCTGAGAATTTCCAATACAAATTCAGAAACAGATTTTTATATTTTTAAATTCCCCTAGATGTTGTACTCTGTAAAACATTATGGGCACTACAATTTTGCAACTAATGTTTTCATGTTGACATGTTTTAACAGACCCTTTGGAAAAAAAAATCAATATATTTAGTCATACTCTCATAATAGACAGTGTCACTTGCACAAATTAGGTCTAGCTTAGGTCCTATGTGAAACCTCTTAAGCCAATATACAGTGTGTACTGTTTCCTTCCAGTGCAGCCCATTGGGATTTAATTTAATTTCCTACAACGTTTAGGTGGTAACTGAAGTAATAAGAAAAAAAGAAATGTGAGTCAAAATGAGCATCAATTATAATTAAAAGCCATGAAATGAATGTAATAAGTGTGTAGTAAAGAAAGGATATTAACAAAAGCTACCTGTCTGATAAGCATAGACTTCAGGAACTTAGAAAAGTGATCATTGTGAGTTCCAGTGAAAAATATAATTTTTATCTACTATATTGAAATATAATAAAATGGGAAATTGCACATTTAATATGTCATTTGCATCAAATAATGAAATATTAAC